ATTCTCAAACCACTTATTACACATGCAATATATAACATACAAATACACGTACGTATGTATATAAAATGAATATGCAGATATGTATAAAAAACGGACAAGAAATATAGCACAAGAAAAAAAAAAAAAATGAAAAAAAAAATAGAAATAGAAAAAGATAAAGAGAGCATACCTGTCGAAAGATATTACCACCAACGTAAAGACACTTGATGCAACGGTCACGTGGGCAATAAAGTTGTTGATAGTACAGTAGACGACACCAAAGGGCCAATTAGAGTTTAGAAGATATATAAAATTAAAGGCGCAGTTAAATAATGACATCATCAGATCTGCCAACGAGAGATTTACTAAGAAATAGTTGGTAACCGTACGCATCCGACGATGTGCTATAAAAAAAAAAAAAATAAGAAAAAAACGTAACATTTAATTCAATAATAAAATTAATAACGACATTTCTCTTTTTTTTCTTTTCCAACGAATAAATTGTATTATATATATATATATATATATATATATGTGTACCATGAAAATAAGTAAGAATTTTTTCCCTTGAAATAAAAAAAAAAAAAAAAAGTCAGTCGTAATGGTCTATTAATTGGATTTTAAATTTGTGCCATTTAAAGTTGTAAACTTGTCTTTCTAGGAATTACGTTGAATTTCTTCGAATTCGTAATTTTTCTCTCTTTCTTTCTTTTTTATCTAAGACTCAGGTTGGTTGTTTCTTTTAACGAATCAATTATTCGTAGATTATTCGATCTTAAAACTTTCCTTGAAATTTGTTTTCGATCTATTTAAAATTCGATTTAGTTTAGAAAATCTGTAATGCAATGGTAACGGTAACGTTATCGTAATTGAAAAGTGATACTTTCAGTTAAATTGTTCACGGTTAAATTCATTGATTATTTTGAGAATAAATCCGCAAGCATCTATATTTGCATATCCACTTACGTAACCATTTACTTATGTACTTCTACATTAACGTTTCAATTTCCTTATGCAAATAATTTTCATTTGTACAAGTGATTTAAACAAATTTCAAGGAAAGATTACCAATGTAACTTGTTATACAACGTTTTGTTTCTTTTTCGTTGTATCTAATAGCCTTATTGTTGTTGTTGTTTTTTTTTTTTTTTTTTTGTTTAAATTCTTCACTTAAATTTCATTTAATTTATATAAATGTATAATCGTAATTACGATAAAAATAATCACGATCATAAGATACGGAACAAATCAAATTTGTCACGTTCGCGAGAAAAGTGAATGAGAGAGAAAAAGAGGAGGAGAGAAAAAAAAAAAAAAGAGAGAAAGAAAGAATAGTTAAATATTCATAAGATGTACTTTAGCGCATCTGGATGACACAGTTTGGAGAATCACCCTTACAATAATGAAATTTTAATTTTTATTTGTTCCTAATGTATACGAGAAATAAATAATTTAAATTAACCTGAATAGAATTATTTTTATTTCGTATTGTCTCTTTCTCTTTTTTTTTTTTTCTCCCATCGTTAATTAATTTTTAATTGTTGTTGTCCTTATTACAAAACAAAATTATCGTGATAAAAAAAAAAAAATGAAAAGTATATCTCAATTAAACGATGTATTTGTAAATTTTTAATCGATTCTCAACATATGAAAATTATCGGATAGTAAATTTCAGAAAAATATTGTGAAAAAATGGATAATAAAATTAAACATTTTTACATATTGGTAAAAAGATGGTTCAATGATCCAATAAGTGTTTCTCTGACATTATCGAACATTTTTTATTCGTCTTTCGCGAAAAGTAATTTATGTAAACCATTAAATTTCTCCACCGATAAAATATAATATAAGCAAGTTCCCATCTTTAATTTTCCTTTGGTGTTGACTCAGCTTTTATTCCCGTAATAAGCTTATAATAAATGTGTGCTTAGTAGAAAATTATTGTTAAGTAAAAAAACTATTCGAAAGAAAACAATAGAAACTTTTTATAACGCTAATTATCCGATTATACGTACACGGATTTAACTTGTTTTTCATTTTGTGTTTAATTAAGTGAAAATTATTAAGTAGATACCAAAAAATCGATCATGTAAATATATTCACAATTTTATTCTAACTTTTTTCAAAGCAATATTTCATAATACTCCTTTTCTATCGTAATCGAAAGTTGAACGAAAAAAACTGTATTTCCACGAACTCTGCAGGTGTTTTTTTTAAAAGCGTCTTTTATCGAAAATCACACTTGTTTTTTCATTGTCGTTTTATTTATCGTTTAACTTGTAAAAAAAAAAAAAATAAGAACAGAACTGTTCGCTGGAGCAACAGAGATACAACGAAAGAAATAAAAATAATGTAAAAAAAAAAATACTTTTTCATATTTTAATACGAATATTATTTATAACAATATTGTAATCAAAAATGAAAAATCTATTTCTATAATTGTTTTTGTTTTTGTTATCAAAATCGTTTATCGATTTCACTCCGTTTCCAATTTGTTATAAACCAAAAAAAAAAGAAAAAGAAAGAAAGAAAGAGAACATAAAATATGAAAAAAAAGAGTTTCGACGAAAATGATAAATGCTGAGAGTACCTTTCATTGACACGTGTCACCTCATCGAATTTTCTGTATTCTCGAGGGGGGGATAAAAATCACGATAGTCAAAAAAAAAACAAAAAAAAAAACAAAATCCAGTCTATAAAAAAGGGGGAAGGATTTGGCGGGGATCATCAATGTTTTCTCTTCGGTAGAAACTTTTTTCTCTTTTTTTTTCCTGACTTTTCTCTACGACTTGTATCAATCATATTCTTTTGATCCTGCGTTCGTCGTTTTTATGTCAATAAATTTGTCAAAGGAAAAAAAAAAAGAAAAAAATAATAATAATATAAAAACTAGTTATTACGGTTAAGTTTATCGAATATTAATATGTACATATGTCAATGTTATTTATAAAGTGAAGCCTCTCTTTCATCGAACATAAAGAAACACGTTAACATGAAACAAAAATAACATCTGTTATTTTTTTTTTTTTCTTTACTCGAAGTAGGATCGATAGCAAAGCATGCAATCATGATGTTTGTACAAAGTTTCTTTTTATTTTTTTTCTTTCTTTCTTTTTTCTTCATAGACCTGTCGTGTACAAACGCCTATTTTATGCATAGAAAGATTTCTATGTGTATATGTATCTATATATGTATATTTATATTCTTTATAAACGTTTGAATAAAAATTTTAAAAGCGAACAAATTGCGAGACTAATTGAAAACTTTAAGGAAAATATTG